TTTATATGAGATAATCACTGCAGAGTTCAGGCCCAGAAAACGGTGGTATCTTCATCCAAAATCAAGTCTGTGGTGGAGATTTCCAAGGAAATCAACTTGACAGGAGATTACTAGTTTTACTGTAGGCCAGATGCAAATGGAAAGATAATGAATTTGCTGATGTTTTCATCTTGGAGCTGCCAAATCTACTGCATTTCCCTTTTTATTTCTTACTCAAAAGTGGGTCATACTTGACTTTGCTTCTGGAAAAATTTCAAGCTACAGAAAGTACACTGGATACTGGAAAATACATACCTATATTGAGACATGCCTAGACATTAATTTTTCTGATTCTATATTGATATTTCCTCAATGTTAAAGAAAAAAAGTAATAATCTGCCATAATAAAAATTACACTGCCCAAAAGATATTGAAACCTATTCCAACTTTACCTAACAGAGCAGATACAACTTTTAGTCAAATGAGAGAAACCCACACAGATCCCAATTCACTTATGCGCATTCCTAAATGTATCATAAAGTTTCCAGTACTTGTAGAAATGAGGGGGAATACTACCTTCGTTCTTCAGGTGTTCACATACTTGGGGACACCTAGAAGGAAGCTGCTTTTATTTTTACTCATCACAGGCAAAAATAACCCAACAGGTTGCTCTGACTGCTGTGTTAAGGCCACTGTGTGATGTTTGTACATGTTTAACTCCTTCCAGGAGTCTCCTTTGGCTTCAGCAGCCTTTTCCAGTGCAGGCAGAGAAGCTCTGTGCACAGGGATGCATAACATGAACGAACACATCAAGAAAAAACACATCTTTGTTTCCAGACCTCAGCAATTCTTGAGAACCTCAGCATCTGCTAAAATTCTATGTTTGTGTCTATTGCTAACACAAGGCCATGCCTCGTGCTTTCCACTGCCCCGTGTTGTTATTTGCCACTGGCATCTCCATCACAGCTATCATCACACTACTGGGCAAAGCAGCAAGAGGCTGAAAACAGGTAAAACAGAGAATCAAGGTCCTTCATAATCTTTACAAATAGAGAGAGCAAAGGAAGTTTCTCCCAAATATCTATTGTCATTGTATATACATTTTTAGCCATTACTTCTTTCCCTGTTTCCTTTAACAGAGCTGACAGTCCATTATGCTGGCACACCAAATGTGGGCCATTGCTGTCGCATCTGAGAAAATGCCATCTCCAGTGCTAACAGAAATTTATTTTTAAAAGTAATCGTTGACTGAATTATCAGCTTCAAGGTAACCTACAGCTGCCTACCACTATTTTAAGCACCTTGTCAGTTGCATCTGTGCTCAACAGTTACACACCTTGGTAGCTGAAACAGCATCTCTGCCAACTTTCTAACCTCTCTTAAAAATATTAGTATTTTGTAAGTATGCATTACAGGGAATCACAACAAATACGCTGCGTTTATTCGATTTTAATGCTTGTTAGGCTTTAAAAAAAAATCAAGGTAATGCCTACCTCTCCCAAATACTTCAAAACTGCAGTGCCCTCCCCATCCACAGCACACCTCCACTCAGGGAAGTAAAACTCCATTGAAAAATGGGGTTACCTTCCACCCCTTTCCCAGCATGGGGGGATAATGACCACTATCCAAGGTGGCGGCCCCAACGGTCAGTGCCAGGCAGGAGTGCTGTGGGGCTCTCTTCTCCATCTCAGGGTGGTATCATAGAATCATAGAACAATTCATGTATCAGTCGAACGGTCCCACATGTGTCCAATACTGGTGGCTGGAGCCCTGTGGTGGAAAGGCTGGAGGCCCACGGCAGAATGGAGCAGAACAGCCAGAGCTGCCACCAGCCCAGGCGAAGGGACTTTTCCTCTGTCCAGGCCTGGGACATCTCCAGCCAGTAGGGGTGTGGGGTCTGGCAATGAGAGAGGGTTGGGGTGTGGATACCTGGGGTTTCCCCAGGATCAGGAAAGGGATGGGGGAAAAAAAAGCCAAGGGAAAGGGAGAAAGACTGCTTTGAATTGACTGAAAATGCAGTGATTGTGTTTCATCGGTGATTCATATATAGGTAGGGGTAAAGCAGTAACAGTGTGTACGCACACCTCTGTAGGTGGTTGGCAGGGGTAAAGCAGCTCCAGAGTTAGTCCAAATTACCTTAATAAGTTGTGCCTGTTTCTCTGACTGCTCGAAGAAGTTGTGGCATCTGTACCCCTTTTTTTTTTACCCCTTTTTTTTTTTTTTTTTTCCTGTTAAATACCTGGAAATACATCTAGATTCATCCTGGCTAACTCTGCTTAAGGGTAGGATACACGAGAAAAATTTTGGGATAGCTGTTTTAGGAGAAGGCCAATTCCTCTGGACAACTTAAAAAATCAATACTTAAAACCAGATGTTCTGGAGTGAGCATGTGCTTCTTGTTCAAATTCCAAGTAATTATTTCTAATAGTTGTCTTCATCACAAATTTAATGTAAGCTATAATTGAAGTATTGACCCTAATGAGAATCTTGTCCATGAAGCCGTGGTTATAGCCAGAACTGTAGTTTTAGCTGGTATGTAGGACACTCAATATGCTTAAGCAAACAGAATTAGTGGGACAATGGAGGTGTGAGACAGGTATTCCGCAAGCTTACCCCAAGGACAGGATGCTCTTATCTTCAAAGATGGAATGCCCCAGGACTCCCAAGGGCCATTAAGATATGCAGAACCAGCCTAGGCCAGCCTTGGGGTCTCTTAACAAAGACAAGGAGTTAACTGAATGGAGTCCATCAACAGGACAGCCCGATGAAGACTATTATGATGAAGTAAAACGACCACCAGAGACCCCTGACGACCACTGAAAGACTGTATTATGCATGTGGGAGTGGGCGGCAACATGTTAATGAGCTCTTGGAAATTGCATGAATATGTTTATCTAAGCTGTATAAAAGCTGTACGTCTGGCCTTTCTCGGGGCACACACCAGGTGGAGCCATCCCAGGTGTGCCCAGCACTGCAATAAAGAATACCTGCTTAACAGACATCAAGGCTATTAAGTTCTGATTTCGGCCTTTTCACGGCATCATCCAGATTCAAGCACAGCATAAAGATTCCGTCCAGAATCAGCACAGAGAAATGTATAAGGTCTAAAATGCAAGAACAAATGTGAACCATCTGTTAGTGACTACCTTTACCAGTGTGGCACCTGGTACATGCCTTCTTCTAGTAATAACGGCAATCAGAAGTATGGAGTAAGCTGGTGCTTAAAAATAATTCAAAGGGGAAAAAAAAAAAAAAGGATAAAAGGCTTCCTAGCATGTTTCTGAACCCATGCATTTCCAGGCCCACTTGTTGGCCTCAGCAGGCAACATTGCAGAGTTCCTTTCCAAGAGTAATACAGCGAGACATGTCTTTTCTGCTATTCACCTGAGAAGGCTTGTTTATATTATTTATTCCACATCATAGTTTATGGAAGATGATGGGCTCCTGAGCTGAGACAATCATACATACATATGTCAAAAAATGCAACTGTTTACAGCACCCTTAGTATCTTCAAGAACTAATGCATTAGCTTTTGTTGGATGTGAGAAGTGTTTTGCAGCCTCTTAACTAGAGATTTGAGGCAATAGTTTGGAGGCTAAACGGAAGGGGGAAGAAAGGAGGGCTTTAGCAGTGTTTAGGGTTAATATCCTGAGATGCTTAGGTTTTATTTCATCTATCTGAACTGTTTTATTTGTTTAGTTTGTTTACCTGTTTATGACTGAACAAATAAAGGAGAATGACAAATTGAGTTAAGGGGACTTGTTGTTGAACCTGAAATTCCTGCAAATTGTTTTTATAGTCAATAGAATGATTCACTGACTAATAGCTAAAGACTATTTGTGTACAGTGCATGAGTGTAATTGTTCTTCACCGATCCTTGTATCTTTTATATTACCTTTGTTTCCTGCTACTGACAGTTTGAGGGGGAGGGCAAACAAACCGGCAAAGGGTAATCTGATTTTATGTTTTGTGACGTTAGAATGTGAAAGCTCTCAGACAGCACGTGTGAACCTTGTACGGGGTTATTTATAGAAGCCTCTTCCGTTTGTCAGGGAAACAAAGAAACCTTTTCAACCTGTGTCAAGTACAGGAATAATCTAAGTTAAAACCTGCCCGAGGGCAAACGGTGTGTAACAATTCAGATCTTATCCTTGGACAGGGAGCATGTTGGGTCTTGGCCGTACTCTCTTTGCACTTTTGTGTAATCATTTATACTTGTGTGAAGTAACTGCAAAATACCACCTTCTATCTGGCTTTGGTTGTATTTTACGTGGCTCCATGCAGCCATATATAGGAAAATGGTTTCCAAAGAAGAGTTTAGATCTGAAATCCTTCCATAGATCGATCACAGGCTGTTAAGTATGTTAGAAATGCTGTTGAAACACTGTTGCAGAGTGCACGGGCAAGCTTGGCAAGTTGTTTTACAGTGCCTTAAGAATGTTTCGCCTCGGCTTCAACTCCACTCCTCTGCTGGAATTGCTACCTACAATATCTATTCCATATCTAAAAGAGCTCTACAACATTCTGCCACTGCAATTGCAAATATTAAGCTCAAACCTAAACCTCTGGAAGCTGAATCTTCTTGACTCCCTGTGTTGACTTTGGCTGGAGAAAGAACAAATCACTTTTTTTTTTCTTTTTAAAATCTATATTATGATTGCATCTGCTAAAATATAGAAAAAATACATAAAATGTTGTAGTTTTTTCTTTAAACACCCCACTCCCCTTTGGTAAAGCTGCCTAGACTGAGCCTTCTTCCTTATATCTAAATAAAGCCTTTGAAACGTTAAATGCTGCTGTTTGAACTCGAACATGTTAATCATGTTTCACCAAAACAAGGTGCAGGGCAAAAGGTTAGCAGGGCTTTGTGGTAGTGGACAGGGCATATGTCAACAGGAAAAACAGTTAACCAAGATTGAATTAATATATGTTTACATCAGAATTCATGTAAAAACAAGGGGTTTTTTTCCATGTTTGTGCATATTTACTCTGTGCCTTTCTGTATAATGAACACTCTTCAGTCCTAATCTCGCTTCACATTTTTATACCTGTGTTGTTTTGTGGGAGGAGATTGTGCAGCTTAAATGTGACTCCCTTGTAGAGGAATTTCTTGCAGAACAAGGACACAATATACCCCTTTAAGGTTTGGACAATCCAGCTTGTGCTCTGTTCTTGAAGTTATCTTGAAGAGCGAGTAAACTGTTTTTGCAAGAACTTTGCTGGATGTGCAAGGACGTACGATAGGATGTTCTAACTGCAGCAAGGGCATCTAACACCCACATGGCTTGATAACATTAACAAAAAACAAAGCTTATTATAGCTTGCACCTGGTGTGTGAACCCTGCCTAACTGTATATATATTTGACTAATTTGAGCAATAAACTGAGAATGGCATGTAACCGCATCGGTGTGATTTTTGTTACTTGGCCGACTCTCTGAAGGGATCCTCTTCGCTCCCTCTTATTTTTTTTCTAAACAGATTCAGATCTGGCTTTTATAATTTCTCCTATCTTGTTAACCGCAAAACGATGCCTTAAATCTTCCTTGTCTAGCAGCAGTAGTCTGAAAATACCGTACAATGTAAACAAGCAAGTAAATGTGTGAACTTCAGAAAGACTGCTATTTGCAGAGTTGTGGGGAATTACAGAGAACATATGAAAAGCAGCAAAAAAAAGTTTATTTGTTGTTAAAGCTATTGGTTCTTTACCTTTTTGTCACGGATTTTCTATTTGGGAAAGATCTGCTTAAAATTAACAATAAAACACATGAACTGCAACACCTTGTTATTAACAGTAGCCGAATATGAACTTCAGTCTTTTTTTAAAAATCAAGTTTTGCAGAAGGAACCCAGTTGTAATAGGTATATTAAGAAGTGCTGAGCTGCATAAGGCTCAGCCAGGCTTCTTAAGTAGAGCTTAAGTACTGCTTTTTGCCACTCAGTGGCAGAACATAAGTGACCTGATTATGGATATCTGTAAGGGTTTATAATCTTTATATGGCTGCAGAAAGTGTTGGCTATGTTTCTTGCATAAAGCTAGCAGTGAGACCACTAAGAGGATGTTGAAAAGGCGCATGCATTTAATTCATTATGCTGTCAGGATACCTTTCTATGTTGTTTCTGGTATTTGGCAGGCTACCCTTGGCAAATGTTCCTGCCATGTCTCAGTCACGCCAGTGCAGATTATAAACCTGATTTTATTTGCAGTTTCCACTCAGGGAGGGGAAATTGCAATTAAGCGACTTCGTCCTGCGAGTTTTCATTCTGCTGCATCTGCAGTCAGGATGAACATTCATAGTGGAGCCATGGCATAGACATCTGGGATGGGTGTCTATGTGGACACGACATTTCTTCACTCAGATTCACCAGAACTGGTCATCAGTATTTAAAGGTTAAGAATACAGAATAACCTGTAAGTAGTATTAATATCTGCACTGTTTCTGTCCAAGTAATATTTTGATATCTCAACATGGTGAATTCATGTCATTTCATATTCTTTCTTATCACAGAAAATACCTCATAATTGTGCTTCATCATGTTTGTTCCTTAAAGTTTGAGACTAAAAGGAAATAGGACAGCCAGAAGCAGCGGCAATATAAAACCTAAAACTTATCCTTAGTAAATCTAGAAACAAGCTTTGCTGATGACTTCAATGAGATCAGAACTGGGCCCTCACATTGGAACACTTTTGGTTTTAACAGAGTTTTAGCTTTTCACCATTTAGAACAGAGCAAGATGTGAACTGAGAGGGTTCCCTTCCCTAAAATAGAAATGTTTCCCTTTTGCCTCCCAAATTTCATGTCAAAATATTAAGGGCCAATGTATGGAACAAATAACATCACCACAAACCAATAATTATTTTACTGAAATTGACTTTACTCTCATGAGCTGAATTAGAGCAATACTGAACCAATTATTAATTACTTGAAGAACTGAGCCAGTAGTTAAAGGAGATGCATATTCTGCCCTAGGTACAGCCACGATGTTGTAATAAGGCTGTTTATTAGAAAATATTCAGAGTGAAGTATTAGCGTGAATGTGTCGTGGTATAAAACAGAACAAGCTGCTTCTTCTCATTGCTTAGGTATGCCTGAGTAAAATGAGAGCTCATTTAAGAACTTGTGAGAAATATATAAAAAAATATGGATCTGTACAAGACCTTGGAGATGCTGTAACAAGGTAGGTCTCAGCAATGATGGCCTTGCAAAAGCACTTCTGAGTTTGTTATCCCAACATAGTAAAGTCAAACTGGTAGAAGAATTCTCTGATTTTTTCTGGTTTTGTTTTTTGGATTTTTTTTTAAATTGGAACTTGTTTCTGTTTCAGAGTTCAGCATGGATCCTTTACTAATGTTTTAAAATCATAATACTCAAATAGTACTTAAAATGTATGCTAATTATTTTTTTGTGTATGAGTACAAAATAACACATTTTACTTGTGGTTAGTATAATTTTGATAGAATTTAGCTCTATGTGGCCTGTTTTGTAGAAACAATTGCATTTTGACAATTCACCAGTTTCTGCTATTTTCTTGGAGGAGAATTATATTTGCTTTCAAAGAAAACTCCTTGCAAATGTTGGTTATTTCAAGAATGAATAGGCCTAATGATAATCTAAATATCATTGGCTCTCCTCTAATAATTTGTTCTTCAGAAACAGTTTTGAATGGAGAAGACTGACAGCTTTTCTTATGTGTATGCTTATAGTATATATAGAGGATATATATATTTACAGAATATATGCAGTGTCATATGTCAAGAGTTCAAATTCTTAGTCCCTTTCACTCTCTTTCAGAGCAGGACCTGTTAGAGAGCAATTGATTAGGCATGTAGCAAGTTTAGAATGACTGGAGTCTTGAAGTTAAATGGCTTTAGTTTTGTCCATCAATGATTACGAGCAATTTGGATATAATAATTAAAATGCTTTTTTTTTAATATTTGTAATTTAAAGTCCCTATACTCTTTGCTATTTGAATTCCTAAACTACACAGTATTCAGGTTGCTTGCTCAGAAGGCCTGTCTCCTTGGTTATTGTTCTTCTAATGCCCAGAAAAATATGAACATTTGAAAACTGCATTAACCTTGAAAATGGTGTTTCCACCATGCAACAAGGCCATACTGAAAACTGAGTAGGAATCCTCTGCAAGAAAGTGTCAATTCTTAATGAGGGCTCCTGAGAATTGGCAGTTTGGTCACGCGTGCTCCAACTGTATCGCAGCAATTAAATGATGCTTTTATCAAATGTCTGTAGTTGTAGTGTTTGGTATTTTCATCTGTTCTTCTCTAAGGTCATGGTTGTGCTAAAAGCACTTTTCTGGATCGATATCCTGATGTGCTGGCACAGTCCTGTGCCGTGCTCGCAGTGTCCATTAGCAGGCCTGACTTTTTGCCAGCACAGCATACATCACACCCAGGTACATCATAAATCCGTGCCGTGCTTTAAGCATGGCAAAAGATGCTCTTCATGATATCTAGCAAAAAAAATTTCTAAATACTCATTTTATTGCTTGTAGTACTAAAAATGTACCAGTTATATCTACATCCACTAACAGCATACTGCCTCTTCTTCCCAGATATTCCTGTCCTTATTGTCAGTGTGAAGGAGATGAGAATGAGATAATGGACCACTGTCTCACTCACCACAGATCAGAAAGGAAACCTATGGTAATACACATCAGGTGTATATTTTACTGAATTCGCATGTTAAACTGATTAATTCTAGCAAACATTACTGATAGGAGATAATAGAGAAACAGAAAATATATTAATTGTTAATTGGTTTTGACAGTGGAGGAAAAACATACCTATATTTATTCCCTCTCCCCATCTCTCACAGCCAAGCATGTATGCACATAATATTTAAAATATTAGCACTCGTATCATTGCAAATGCTAGCAGGAGCACTGAAAACGGTGTAAGAAGTTTTATGATGGGGACAACAAACAGTTACTCACAGCCAAGACAACAAAGCATTTTTAGGTTCAGTGACTTGCAAGCTTTTAAATCCTGCATGTACTATTTCTACTGCTTAGATTTATGTGCAGCATTTGCTGTCTGTTCTCATCTGGGTTTTGAGGTTATAATCTGAGAACTGCTTATGTGGTCTTATATAGGAGTATGTCATAGTGGAGTTTTAAGTTTTTTAAAATAAATTCACATAAATAGCTTCATTCTGAAGGTCCATGGAGGCTGTGAGGTCTTACTGTGACTCTGCTTGTAGGACTGAGGTTCATAGGGTGTAGTTGCAGATCTCAACATGCGTTACTTACTTCCCTGCTTGTTATTTGCCGAGGCATTTTAGACTCTGATTCTCACATCTCACAGAAGATGTGTTTTAGAGAGCTTACAGACTGAAGGACTTGTAGACAAATCAGCCAGCCCTTAACAAATTAAATTTCTTATGGATGACCAGAGAAATCCTGTATGTTTCTGGTAGCACTTCATCATCCAAACAGGGGCTTCGATGACAAACAAGTGGATTATTTGTTATTAATTATTGGAATGATAAACAAATGGGTACATGAATTGTTTGAATGAAACAAATGCTTTTGCATGACTGTTCTCTTGTAGCTAGTAGGAGGGATATATTAACCATCAGATCTATACAGGTTGACAGTGCTTGGGATGTCTGCAGACACGAATTACACAGCAGGGATTAGCGTAACCAACAGCGCGCTGTGCCAAGCAGTATTTGTCTTGTTCAGAGAATGCTGTTTGGCCATAACAGATCCACTTATTTCACATATCTGTTTTTTAAACACTGATACTTCTGTAAGACCTCCACAATAAAAACTGAATAACTTCCTTCCATTTATTTATAGTGTTGTCCAATTTGTTGTTTAACATCTGGGAGACACCCAAGTTATTTCAGTGGAAATTGTATAAGGCATCTTCAACTCAGACACACACTCCGTTATGAAGACTACATAGTGAGCAATGGTATTCACAAACTACTGGACTTGATTTCTTTATGTGCATCTTCTTCCGCACCTTTTACAGTCAGGAAGTCATGGAAAGAACTGAATGGGTAACTGCACCACAAAGCGTGCCAAATGTGTACAGAAACAGCACAGTCTGGTCCTCGGAGGTGCCAGATTTTGTCCTCAGTTCTGTTGCTGTCTAACGGTGGGACAAGGGGAAGGTACTCCGCGACCTCACCTCTTTAACAGGTATTATGCATCTGACTCATGTTTATAAATGACCTGGCGATCCTCAGATGGAAACCTATGTTCTTGAAATGAAAGTTGTTTCAACAACTCATTTTTATTCTATAAGAACCTAACACGACACAGTTGTACTTTGCTGCAGCTGTTTGCTGCCTGAGTGGGCTGTAAAATAGAAAATGCGGCACAAACCTTAACACACTGTTGGAATTTCTCAAGAATATTAGTGCTTTCCTATACTTAGGCTTGATACTCATCCAGACAAAATCGTAAAGACATAAAACATTGTTTTCAATTGGTGCAAAAGCACTGAAAAAAATGATGTCCAAATGGAGGGCAGGGGTGAAGAACCATCTTAATAATTTGAACATATAATTCATGCACACAACAGGAATGGACTTATCTATGACAGCACTTTAATGACAGCTCACACATACGTAGCTTCAAAAAGAATAGCTAAGGCTCGAGTATTTAGTTCTATACACAGTAATATGATGTACATCACCAAAGTGGACTCTTTAATAAAAAGCATTAGCATTGCCGGGTATTGCATAATCACTGAATTAAGCTAGTTCTGCATCTGACATTCTCATTTATTTCAGGTTCCATAATGATTTCTCTTGCTTTCCATTGCAGTATTTACCATGGTAGGAAGTCAGGCAGTAAAATTTAAACATGGATGTAAACCTACTGAAACCAGTATTTTGTTAACTGGTAACTCAAGCAGTCAACATTAAATCTATTAACACACTGTCTACCATCTTGATATTCAATAAAATATTCTTTTTTTTGTTTTTTCTTTCAGAACAAACACTGTTGGAGAATTTTTTGTTGAAAGAGTTGAAAGTTCTAGAAAGTTGAAAGAGTTCTAGATGGGTCATTTTTAGAATGTGTGCACGTGAATCATCAAAACAGCATGTAAGAACCACTGCAGAAGAGTGGAAGAACATGTTCTGTAGATAAACATGGTCATTAAAATTTAGCCTTTTGCAGTTAATGGAATGTTAGTAACCTGCATGGACCATTTTTTTTTCTTAAATATGGTTTTGGATTTTTTTTAAATTCAATTTCAGTTATCATTTAAAAATGTCTTCTTTTTTCGTAAGCATAAAATATTTTCTCTCTCTACGTAAAATATGGTGGTCTTGAACTCACTGTTGGCCCAGTACACATGTACACAGGCTTTGACAGCAGCCTCTCCTGTTTGTTTGCAGCTCCATTCCAGGAGCAGGCCTCATCTGCATTGATGATGACAGCACCACACTGGAGGCAGATGACAAACAACAGCATTTCGGATGCTGCAGGACCAAACAAATTAGAACAAATCCCCCCCTGAAAATAGCATTTGGTATGCTACCTACTGTCAAGGATTGCACATAAGTTTCCATTTACAGTGGGAGACAAAAACTCGAAATTAGAAATGTTAGGAAATGAAAGCTGTCTTGAAAGGACAGCAAGCAGTGAATATTATGCTTATAATAAAAAAAATGGAGACCTCTTCAAGAGACTGACAGTGTCTTTCAACTAACCTGTATTCTTTAGGTCTTTATTAGTTTTTCTTGGAATCAGAAAGCGGCTCCTTTTTGGTAAGAGAAAGATTCAATGTTTCATGTGCCTGGGAAAGTTTCCTTCCTTTCTCTTTGAGAACTGTCCTTGGGAATGAAAGCTCCTCAATCAGACAGACAGACAGCACAGCTCCAAAGGATGGAATTTGTCGGAACATTCAAATAACTTAAAAGAAAATCTGGGCTGCCAGAGCAAAGCAGCCAGAAATATACGGAAAAAGTTACTGGATTTATGGCTTTCTGCACATCTGCAAAATGTATAGAGAACTTTTAATATGTACAAAACAAGTTACCACCATAAGAGTGTTGTCCTTAGTTTTGCCTGTGCCTGCAAGTGTTCTTTGTCAGCAGTCACACAGCTACACCTGTTAAGAGCAAAGGATGTCCTTACCCTTGCAGGTGGCACCTTCTGCTCACATTCATCTTTGACTGCTCCCACAGAATAAATCCCTGCCCTTTTCATATTGGCAAGGAGATGTGCTGTTCTTGCAGCAGCAGCAGCAACATTGTCAAGAAAGCAATCAAAATAATAGTTGTAAAAAAAGTACTTGTAGGAACTTGTGCAACAGCTGTGCAAAGGTTGCCCCCAGCAAAAGGCAAAATTTTATGAGCAGTTCTACAAGTTTTCACCACTGAGATTTAATTTCACAAACATGTTCTGTCACGAGGAATAAAAAGCTGGCAGGGCCATTGGTCAATTTCATCTAAAAAGTCTGATTTAAGACGCTTTCCTTCAAAGAAATGTGCTTCATAAACTTTAGCTGCCTGATTTCTCCTTACATGTTGTCTCTGCCAATGGCAAAAACGAGGTAAGATTTAAAGGCTGGTGCCATGCTATATATTGCTCCGTGGCCTACTAGTTGTCAGCTCCGAGGTCACAGCTTTATTAAAGGATCAAGACTTACAATAACGTTAGCGAGGGCACGAACGCCTTCGCCTAACACCTTCCTGTAGTTTACTTCCCTGAGGTCATCTGCACCATTTCTCCCCCTGCCAAAAAAGCTACTCATCGATAAATACCGCTGAGCAAAGTTCAAATGGACCTATTGTGTTCCCCTGGCAAGAAATCTTTGCTTTTGTTTAACACCTGCCTTCAAAGGATTGAGAAATTGAGAGGCCTAAGGACATCGGGCCTAGGCCGGGGG